GGGAGGGTGCCTGACAGGGTGGGGGTGACCCTGTGGAACCCTGAAGCTGGAGGGCAGGTGGATGGTTGGGGATGGTGCCTGTTCTGGTGTTACCCTCACCTCCGCTGTGCTTATCTATGGTAGCTTGGGGAAGGAGAAACTGAGTTGCAGCAGGGTTGCTGGCTGACCAAGCTCGCCCAGGGCAGGGGGGATGAGAGCGGGATCTGAACCCTCACATCTTGCTCTCTGGCCGAGGGGACACAGACAGGGTCCCTGCTGCCTGCTGGGCTTGGCTGCCCTGCGGTCCTTAGTGACAGTGGGGTGCACTGGGATACACCCACAGCCCTGTCCCACTGCCCATCATCCATCCCTGCACCGCACGGGGGAGGCAAGTGGCTCTGCCTGCTCTCCTTCCTCCTCCTCAAAAGGGCTTTGGGGTTGGTGCCGGCTGAGTGGTGGGCTCCTGCTGCACTCCCCATAGCCATCGGTTGGCTGAAAGGGCATTTGGAGGCCGAAGGGTGGTGATGGGGTGCTTCTTTGTTTGGCTGTTTTTGGGGTTCAGCTGTCCTTTATCCAGGGTGGATGAAGGATGCTTTGCCAGCACCGTGGTGGCTCTCCTGGGGGGGCAAGGCTGGCTCCAGTGAGGCAGGAGGAGACCTGCGGCTGGATGCAGCACTGCTGGGCTAGCAGCTGGTGGGAGGATCATCGCAGAGAAATTTTTGGGGTATCGCAGAGGCAGGTGGGCAAATCTGGATGTGGAACATCTATGGCCTGGTTTGGTTTTGCTGAGAAAACCAATGCTGATGGAGAACGGGGTGCTGGGCTGGTCCTGCCGCACCCAGCATCCGCCCCTGCTCCCCTCTTCCCACCTCTGTACCATCCCCGTCCCACTGCCCCTTTTTATTGGGGCTGGAAGGGGGGTGGTTGGGCCTGGCCAAATCCAACATCTGCGGGAGACTTGCTAAATCCCCACCTGAGTCATGGTTCTGGCACGGGGCTCCCCTGCAGCTCAGTCCCGCGCGCAGGGCAGGGATGGCCAGGGTGGGGAGCAGGATGAGCATCCCACCCCTCCGGGGATGGGAGGTCACAGCAGAGCCTGGACCCCATGTGGCAAAGGTCGTGGGGTGCCAGAGCCCCCTAGATTGAGCTGGATGCCGATCCTGAGCCTTTCCATGGGGCAGCAAGCCCCTAGATGGGGTTGCTCTCATCCATTGGTCCCCCGGGAGGGTGGGCATCTCATGGGGTACATCTTCCCTGGTGGGGTCAAATCCTGCCCCACTTATCTGGGGCTGAGGCTGCCCAGGAGGGCAAGCCAGGCTGTGCAGAGG